TGTGTGTGTGTGTGTGTGTGTGTGTGTGTGCGCATACAACAAGTCTAATGCCTAAAGGACGATATAGGTTGTTAGTCAGTGTCCCACAAAACCACCTGTGTACAGTTTCAGGATTCATTCATATTTCCCATCTTCCACCACTTGTGCTAAACATCTGGTTTGTGAAAAAAAAACAAAAAAAAAACACATTTACCTTCAGTTTTTCTTCTTAATGTCTGGAAAATATGTTAAATACACAGCTTTCCTCATAAAACACCCGTAAAACAGATTTTTTAAACAATGTCTTTTTGCACCGACTGAGAAAAGTCGCACAGGAGCTGTTTGGTTCTTGACTCGTGTGAGAAAAGCTCAGTGGCTCCAGAAACTCAAATTTTTGCCATCCACTCTTTAACAGGCTCTGGACATCAGGTTGTGTTTAAACACATGAACGTCACTTTCTAACGTTTTCATTTGGTTTCAGCAAAATAATTAGATTTGGGCAACAAGATGATTTGGTTAAGGTTCAGCAACAAAAGTGTTTTTTATGTTCTACCTAGGTTTAAGCAACAGAACTAGTCGGTTTCATGGTGACGGTCGGTACTGCAGCGCTGCCACGTGATTGGCTGATTGGATAAGTGCGTGAATAAGCAGGTGTGCAGGTGTTCCTAATAAAGTGCTCACTGAGTGAACAGAGTATTTGTTCGTGTAGAACCAGGAGCAGGTTTTCAGCTCCTGACAGAGAAAGTTTTTTTTTCTCTTTTGTTACTCGGCTCTGACCCGTGTGGGCGAGATTAAAAAAAAAAAAAAAAATCTCTCTCTCTCTATCACTCCCCCCTTCCTCTCTCCCTCTTTCTTCCTCCTCCACTCTTTTTTAAAATCTTCCACACAGATAGATGGAGAGCGATGTGCTCGGCCTGTGATTGTTTTGTGCAGCAGAGTGAAACACACACTGTGTGTTCATCCCACTGTGGACTCTGTCTATTCCTCCCTCTTCTTCACTCTCCATCCTTCTCTTTCATATTTTCCCTCCATCCTTCCCCTCCTCTGCTCCTTCTCTCTCTCCTTGTTGCTCAAGCCGTGTCATCGAGTCCCGGCGTTCACACACAACCTCCTTTTCTTTTCTTTCCTCTCGTCTCCCTCTGCTTGTTTTTCTTCATATTGACCTCGGATTCCTCTCTCCCTTCTCCCTCGTCCTCCTTTCCTTTACCTCTTCTTCCTTCTCTACTTTTCTTCTCCTCTTCCAATGTTCTGTAATTTGTTGTCGCTCATTTCTTCCCTCCTCATTGTTTGCTCTCCCTGCCCTCCCAATCTCGCCTATTTTGACCTCCCCACTTTCATACATCCCTCATTCTTCACCTCTCCTCGTGCCCTTGTCACATCTCCCCTCTCCCTGCCTGGTTCAATTATTTTCTCCTCTCCTCCTCTTCTCATATCTCCTTCTTGTCTCCTCTCCTCTTCTCATATCTCCTTTCCTTTCTTCTTGTCTCCTCTCCTTGTTTCCTCTCCTATTCACATCTCTCCTCTCCTCCTCTTTCTCCCTGTTTTCTCTCCTAGCTCTCATTGCCTCTCATTTCATTTGCTCTCCTTTCCTCTCGGCTCTTCCTCCTCTCTTCTTCCTTGTCCTTTCTACGATAATAACAGTCACATTGACCCTCTCAGGAGGCAATTGAAAAGCAAATGATTGCAGCTGATACCACGAATTACCACACACACACACACACACACACACACACACACACACTCACACTCAGTTTTAATGCAGTTGCTTTCATGATGCAGGAAGCAGTCGTTCTATTCCTCAGAACAGAGTGACATTACTAATCGCTCTGAACAAACACACACACACGCACACACACACACACACACACATTGTGTAATCTACTGGAAATAGATTAATTTTAATCAATGAGTAAACTCATCAGGAACAACCTGATCCTTTCCACGATCGTTTCAAACGATGTAAACTTCACTGCCCACATACTTCCAAGCCTCCTTTATGTTGTTAAGCAATTCATCCAGTAGAGGGCAGCGACGTCGGAGCAGGTTGTGATAATGTTCCTCTTAAGAAAGAGTCGAGAGACGCTGGTGTTCTGTGGACGGTGATTTTGTTTTCTGGAAATGTCCTCTTCCTGTCCTCTGGTCTTCTCAGTTGAAATGTTGGCTACACTGCCCCCGGTGATTTCCAGTGGTACTGCTCAGAAGACGTGAGTCTCCAAGCCTTTATCTCACGTTGAGGCTCTACGTTTTTAAAAAAGGTTAATTTTAATACCAGTCGTTTCATATTCAGTCACATGTTGTGTGTCGTCGAAAAGCGTCTGAGACTCATGTTTGTTTCGAACACTCTTTGTACCTTTCGCTATCTTCAGGTTTGGCTGATCACTCGTTCCTAAAGTCTCTTCGTCAAATCCCGCCGTTGGTTTTAATCACCTGCTCAGACGACTTTTATAAAACCTCAGCGTCCAACATCCAGGAGCTGCTGTTAGGAATGACCTCAAGTGCCACTCGACTTCCTGTGAAGGGAATTGATGATCGAATGTACCCCCCCCCCCAACAACCCGTCACCCTATGTTTTATCTAATATTGATCAGTCACATTTTTTATGGATGGATTTTATGGTTTTGTAGATACCTCAAGGTTTTCATTACTGCGAATGGAGTAAATGAACTTCTTTAATCAACCGTCACAGAAACCCTGCAGTTTAGTGCTCGTGTACACATGAACTCATCGAAGCACAGATTTT